ACATTTTATAAACAGAAAATTATTAAAATACTAAAGAAATTTATTAGTGTTTAAAAAAAAATACAGAAAGAGGCTTGCAATCTATATTCGAAGTATGATATGAACCCTGAAATGTTGTCTTACCAATTCGTGTTTCACACGTATATAAAAGAATCTCAGTATATTTCGATATTTCTTTTACCCCAAACTAATTTATTAGGTATATTAAATTTTTACTATCAAAAGGACAAAAGTGTTTTTTAAGTCTTTTTTAAGAACTGCGATAATTTATTTTAAGTACTTAACTATTTGTCATTTTTCAAAAGCTTAAGAAATTGACTCTTCCTCCCCTCCTCCAAAGGCTTATTTTATCATGTGAGTAATGCGTCTGTAAATAGCGTGCTAAGTAACCTTGTGTAGCGCTTTAATCATCTGGCCTTTTGGGGGAGACCCATGGTAGCTCCATCCGTGTCGAATACTGACATGACTGGTGCATGTACCTGGAATTTCCTTTATGCTTGATGTGAATACGAGGTTCTGAAAGTTCTCGCTAGGAGCCCTTCCCTTCGCAACCCCTAACGTGCTTTCAGTAATTCAATCTAATCCTTAGAAAGGTCACTGAAGTCTTTCCACTTTCGAAACCATTGATGCGTCACTTTTACTGTTAAAGATTGTCTCCCACCCAGCGTATTGGCACCTCATGAGTTTTAAATGTCTTTTAGCAGCACGGGAATAGCTTTCATCAGATGTTGCCATTATGATCATAAATCTTAATTGATCCTTCGATATTAATATTTAGCACTGATTAGTTTTAAATATATTTATAATATATTCAACTAATAAATTTTACTATTATTTGGAATATTAATATTATCAATAGAATGTATTTCTAATGGCGTCTATCATGAACTTAATACAGGATTGTTAAACCTTTACTTTTGAAAAGGAAAACTTTTATCTGAAATTGGTATAATACCAGTCAAATTGCATGACTTCTAATGTTTTATTTTTTTACATATGATGATTTTAAACTTTATTCATTTTTGTAATACTGTTCCGTCCGTTTATTTAAAACTATGCCAAAGCAATTCTGCGAGGTTTATATCGAATTTCCTTCAGAAGTGAAACTGACAGTCAGAATAAAGCTACGGTTGTCATTTGGAAGTTTTCTATGATTTTGTTGGCACACTCTGTTAACTTACTCTCCATGCCTATATTTACGATTTTGAGGCTGGTATAGAAAAAACCATTTTTAGGTTTTTTTTCTTTTTAATTTTATTCATAAAAGTTGGAGAGGATACGAAAAAAATTAAATACTGCTAGACTGTTTATTATAACTAGCAATATCGTAACTAACTGAAAAAATGAATAATAATTTATTTTAAGTACTTAACTATTTGTCATTTTTCAAAAGCTTAGAAATTTGACTCTTCTCTCCCTCCTCCAAAAAGGCATTATTTTATCAGGGTGAGGTAATGCGTCTGTAAAATAGCGTGCTAAGTACACCTTTGTGTAGCGCTTTAATCAATCTGGCCGTTTTGGGAGGAGACCCATGGTAGCTCCATCCGTGTTCGAATACTGGACAATGAGCTGGTTGCATGGGTATATTGGTAATTTCCTTTATGCTTGATGTGAATACGAGGTTCTTAGAAAGTTCTTCGCGAAGGGAGCCCTTCCCTTCAGCAAACAGCCGTAACGTGCTTTCAAGTAATTCAATCTAATCCTTAGAAAGGTCACCTTTTTGGTTGCAATCGGCTGCATCAGAAGTTGATATATATATATATATATGTATGTATATACCCCTCCGTACGCGCTCCGTGAGCTCACTTTTTATCTTATATGCTAGTAAATTGTGCATTTTTTGCTTTAAAAATGATTTAATTATGTTGTTCTTATCCTCCGGTTAAGGTTTTTATGCTTTTAGTTAATCTGCATGCAGTAGTTGTAGAATTATCAACAATTTAAAAATTGCTTAAGCGCGGCTAAGCTTAATTTTTGCCATAGCAGCCATATTTGTTTACATTTGAAACTTAGTAGAATAGTGAATTAAGCCAATTTCTGCACCTTCCGTGACTTTTTGCCGAATGGAACCAAAAGGAAACTCAGTTTTGTGCACGAAAACATCTCCCTTCTTGCCCGCTGGCCGAATTGCTGGTTTTTGCGTATAAACTCTTATTTTAGTTTTAAAAACTGTTTTTTAATTGTTTCAACTGTATTCGGTGTTTTATATTAAGTGAAATGAATATCCTTTTAATGTGAAATGAATATTGCTAAGTGAAATGAATACCTTTCTAAAAACGCATATTGAATTGTATTTTTAATTAGTTTTATTTACATGTTGGCAAGGAGTCTCCAAAATGGGAACGCACTTTTTACTTCCTTGTATGAAGTAAAGGAAGTATAGTAATCGCGAAAATTCTCGCGTATCATATTTCAAAGAAAATATCCATTTTGACCGCTATCGAATGCAGTTTAACGATGTTTTTGCGTGACATCTATACATAAGGACAGAATAGAGGACTCTTTTTCCTAATACGATTTGTAAAAATTATTTAAAATGGATTCAGCAAAGATTTTTTCATGATGTCTATACGTATATACGCGTGAATGTATGTATCTCGCAAGCCTCAAAAGCGAGTAGCCTCAGAACGTTGAAATAGTGTATATAAGACTGCTATTATATGTAATTGTGAACCTCCCTTTTTGGTTGCAATCGGCTGCATCAGAAGTTTGCATATATATATATATATATATATATGTATGTATATACCCCTTCCGTTACGCGGCTCCGTGAGCTCACTTTTTATTCTTATATGCTAGTAAATTGTGCATTTTTTGCTTTAAAAATGATTTAATTATGTTGTTCTTATCCTCCGGTTAAGTTTTTATCTTTTAGTTAATCTGCATGCTAGTTGTAGAATTATCACAAAAATTGCTTAAGCGCGGCAAGCTTAATTTTTGCCATAGCGCCATATTTGTTTACATTGAAACTTGTTAGAATAGTGAATTAAGCCAATTTCTGCACCTTCCGTGACTTTTTGCCGAATGGAACCAAAAGGAAACTCAGTTTTGTGCACGAAAACATCTCCCTTCTTGCCCGCTGGCCGAATTGCTGGTTTTTGCGTATAAACTCTTATTTTAGTTGTAAAAACTGTTTTTTAATTGTTTCAACTGTATTCGGTGTTTTATATTTTTCTAAAGTTTTCAATTTTTAATAACGATATTTTGAGGTTTTATGTATTTTTGCCTTGCCGCGAAGTAAGAACTGAATTAATTAAATGAGATTAAATGAGATTGATTAAATTCGAGGAAATAAGTTTAAATGAAATGCAGCAAAAAATGCCTATAATTTAATATTCCGTACGAGAAAGTCGTGAGGTATACACACCAGATTTTTTGTAAAATGTTTGCTCAATTCTGCATTATAGTATTTGAGGAAAAGGCCACATTCACATGAAAGATTCTTGTTTTCTATCTGACACTTAATAGACTGAGTCCGGCATTTTAAGGCAAAACAGTTATTTTGGCTTCCGTAAGTACACCTTCCAAAAATTCTCGCCAAATTTCAACTTCTTTTTTGAACTATTTGGTGGCTCTAACATTTGGTGGCAACAATTTGAAAAGTGATACGCCGTTTATACTGAATCGACGCAAAATGCCCAAACGAAATTAATAACCCTCCTGGGCTAACGCTCTTTGAGTTAAAAATGAAAACTTTGAAACATCAAATAAAAAACAATTTTTAACTTTAAATTTCTACAAGAAAAACAAAATATCGAGAGTAATATATAATATGAATTCTTTGAGGTATGTATATTATTTCAAGGGTAAAGAAAGCGAAAACGGTAGTCTTATCAAATCAATATTAAGTAATTTCCTGCTTGTATTTAACTCAGTTTCAAAATAGTTCTCGTGTGCTAGAGTTTGAAAGACTGTAGTTGCAGTGCTGGATTTAAATTTACCGGTTTTAAATGAGTTCCTTCGATACTATATATAAATTTATTGCTTTCGATTTTTAGAAGAGTTTTTATTTTTAACAACAAGAAGTTTTTTAATACCATGCTGTCTGAGTAGAATAGTGAGTAATTAACAGCTGTATGAAAACGACCTTATAAAACAATTCTGAAGACTTTTGTTATCATTTTCTCTTCTACAAATAAATATTGACTACGTATAATCGATTTATTGTTGGACATTATTGATTAAATTTAAACGATTAGCTTCGTAGTAAATTTTGCAGTAAGATAATATTAAATATTAACAAATGCATATAAACTGTTCAAAAATCTTAATTTTCTTAGCTTAAAATAATATAAACGAGATTAGAAAATATTATTATATTAATTTACTTTAATCAGATACTTCTTGCGTTCGTGTAAAATTATGGATTAAGTAATGAAAACGGAAATTAGATTTCAACAAGTAAGTAGTCGATAACTAAAAATTAGTTTTAAACATGATATGGATAAAAATCGAGATTATGATTGAAAATTTGTCCCGTTATGGCTTTTCAAATTTGATCACTGTTACACAGAGTAAAAATATACCATTCAAAATAAATTCGGAACGGTCTGTAATCAGAACCTGATAAATATCATATGTCTTTAACAGCACACACTGGCACTAATTTAGCTCAACTTTGTTCTGTATTGTCTCACACCGAGGTAATTTCCTGTTGGAATTCATATAGTGGTAAATGAAACTTTATAAATTGAACAGAAAACTATTCTTAGACGACAACATGAGGCAACTTATAATTATCGAACCCTCAGGGTAATTTTTAACGAATTTTTGCCCTTTATAGTTTTATTTAATAGTGCCATTACTATACTTTTTAAAAGCAATACATGACATTTTATTCCATATATGATGATAAAACAATTAACTTCGTTTAAAAATATAGTACGTATTGAATTATGATTTCTTTCTTGTTAATACAAACGAAACTAATTTACTTAAGAAGGCTTCCTAAAATAAGTAATTAAATAAATAAATAAAAATGTATTTTTACCTAGTTCCTGGGACTACGCGAGAGCAGGAAATCGTAACATAGCTTCTTCGAAGAGTTGGCTGCACCAGATGTGGTAGTTCGTCTGCCTAGCAACAATTTGCGTCACGTTTAATGTTAGGGAAGTTGATTGCTCTTTAAAAAGCTGATTCTGTTTCGCAGTCGTTCGAAAACAAAGCGATATCTACCTGTCCTGCTTCGGTTTGGTTGGTAGTTGACCTGTTCGCATGGGGTGTCCCGTTAGTCTTAGTGTCCGACAGCCAGTGTGGGTCAGGGCCAAGAACCTGCTTCTAAGACGTAAACTGAGAGAACGTGATGGTTGTTTCGTTTGTTGTTATCCCATGAGAAGAAGGTGATGCCACGACAACCAGTGCAATGTCATAATTGGCCGCATGCAAGTAGATGAAGTTTTTTTCTCGTCTTTTTTATTCACCCTTTTCTTTTTACCTAGCATCCCCGCTGTGTTGTAATATGTTGCCGCGGTAGAACATTGAGTAATTTAATGGCTATATTTAAGTATTAAGAAATTATACACGCTTTTATTATTATTTATCGTCTTCCAATTAAAAAATTAACTTTATTTCGATATTTCTTGGCCGGGAGATACTAGGTTACCAGCTATTAATTTTTCTTGAATCATTTCATTGAAATCAAACAAAATTCATTTTGACTATCCCTTCGAATTCTAAAGAGTAAATTCAGCTGTGTTTAAAGTAAATTAAAGGAAACATTTTCAAACAAAAGTTGTTTACAATTTTTCAGAAAACTTTAACCTTCCTCATTTTGTAACTCCGAATTTTAAGCTTTAAATATATTATGTGTCTGACAGTGATATAATGAAGGCAAATTTTAAACATCTACAAATTATTTAAGTGCATTATAAAGAAATTAAGTTTCCATTGAAGAGATATTTTTTAAATGAGAATTCGAATCGAAATTTAAAAAACGATTCTATCAACTCTAGCTATTTAAAATGTTTTTAATTGCTAATGTCTAATAAATTTCGATTGATGAAATTTCCATTGGAATTTATCTTAGTTGAAATTGAAAACTACCAGTTTTAAAATAAACTTCAAAAGTCCAATTTTCAGTTGCATTGGAAAACTTTTGAACCATTCTGAAAATTTTATTGCCATTGATGTTAAAAAAATTACCATTATAAAATAATTATTAAGATTTAGTTTTGAAGCTTTTTCAAAATAAATGCTAAATGTATAATTTTGAACCATTTAAAAAGAATTTTTTATTTGAATTCAGGCTTCAGAATTACCAATCTAAAATAAATGTTAAAAGTATGATTTAGGGTTCTTTCGAAGCAATTTGATGAATTATGTTTTAATTCGTAATTATGACTGAACAATTACCAACTTAAAATAAATATTAAGCGTGTAATTCTGGCAGTACTTGAATTTCAGATTTTTATACTTTTAAGGCTTGTTAAAATATGAAATCTAAAAATTTAAAGCTTGGTATTCAGTTTTTAAAAATTAACTCTACATAGAATTTGATTTAAATGTTATCAAAATAAAACATTTTAATTCATCTAAAATTTTATTTTGTATTTTAGTAACATTTTTCTGTCCTTTCTAAATGCAGATGATCTTTTGCTAAATATTGGTAGTGACTGGAGACTATCGATCATTTTTAATCCAAAGGAGCAATTTGCCCAGAAAGACTATTAATTTCGTTTTGGCATTTGGCGTCGATTCACTATAAAACGTAGATTCACTTTTCAAATTGTTGCCACCAAATATTATCCCCCTCTATTATATTTAAAGAAATTAAATAATGAAGAATCTGCATAAATGTGTGTATGTCTCTCGCATTGTGGTAAAGCAACAGTAACTAGAGCAATCAAATTTTGAATAACGTAAACCTTCTGCGAATATGGGCATCTGGAAGCCCACATTTGGAATTTGTTTTATTATCTATTTCATATTTTTGTAAAACTTTAACGAATTTTTGATTAACAAACTCAACGATTTCAAAGCGAGCAACGGCAACATTCTACGAAAAAAAAAATTATCTCCATCGCGCGAGGCTATGTATCGGAAATTCGAAAGATATGCTCATTTTAAAATTATTTTGCGATATTTCTATTGAACTGAATTTTATGGTTTAAATGCGGAGAACATGATATTTAATAAATAAAAGTAGGTAACATACAAAACGTTAAAAAAACGCCCCTTTGGGCATAATGTAAAATTTGGAAGCTTTCAGATTTATTTATTTATTTTTTTAGGATTATATTTAAAAATTTTCAATTGTTCTAATTTCTAATTATCAAAACAAACTCTACTAGCACAATTTTAAAATAGTGTTTAGATTTGAAAGGCGTTATTCTAAATCAAGAAAAATGATATAAAGAATTACTGATTGAAATATTAAGCACTAACATTAAAAATGATAATTTAATAACTGAAATGGAACTTTAAGTTTCAAACTTTAGCTATTAGGTTTTGCATTAATTTTAAGTCGAGTCTGTTAAGAAACCAATGTAATTATTTAAGATTTTCTTTCAGTTTCAAATACCACACAAATTTGGAGCTTGATTATGAGCTGCCTTTTTTAATCAAATCTTTTACTTTGAGATATTATACAAAATGAGTTATTTTATTTTAGCATTGGTTTCTCAGGGTTAATTAGAATTTCAGCTACACTGTAGATGATTTGTTTAGCTGATTGATTGATAAATGCAAATTATACAACGTCTGTCTAAGGAAGGGAAGATTTCATTGCGAACTTTCTAAGGGAAACTGGCTTGTATGCTAGACATGAGAAAAACCATAGAAACAACTTACAGCCAGCTCATTCACCAGGATCTGAATCCGAATCGAACTATTAGCGTTCATTGATCTTATCCGCTCTGTTATTCGTAAGTGCGGTTGCAGATGGCTTAAATTGTCTCAAACAGAACAGACATACTATTGAGAGTAGTTTTTAAAATAACAGATATAAATTTGAATAGGGAAAAAAAGTCGCTTATCTTGGCCCTAGTTGTACTTGGACTTTCGAACTGATGGATTAAATGCTAATTACACAACAAATACAAAAATTTATCTTGGCACAATTTTTGCGCCAAGAATAATTCACCTGGCGAACCTCTTAATATGTGGCAACCCTTCCATTATGCTGGAGCGGAAAAAAAGGCACCTTGCTCCTACCTTTTTACATTATGCATGAGCGAGAAAAAATTCACTACGTTTCTACAAATAATTTTAGCTACAAATAATTTTAGCAAATTGTCTGAACCACATTTGATGTTTTATCACTTTCAACAAATGCGCCAAATTTTAAAACGCGCCAATATATATAAATTCCCGTATATCTTCGGAAATTTTGAATAAAAAACTGTAATTTTTTTGCAGGTGTGCTTAAAAATACGTCTACTTTAAGACGATGGTAACAATTTTATAGATTATAATTCAAACATTTTTTGAAAAATTTATAAAAATTATTTTAAAATACAAATTTTAAAAATAAATTATAATAAATGGATGAATTTTATATGGAATGAACGTTAATTTCGAAATGTGAAAGGAAGAATCAAATAAGGTTAATAAAAAAGAGAGATTAATCAATATACACCAAACTCAATTAACATTGAGAAGCTAAAATTTTGAAAGCTAATTTTTTAAAAACTACTCGTACGATTTTTACAAAATTTGGTAGTTTGGCGTAATTTGAGACATAGAATCGAAATATAGAAACAAAAATTGGTATTTTATTTCAAAAAAGGTTCGATTTTATGTCAAAATACCTATATTAGAACCATGCTATATATAAATCTAATACATATCCTAATTCGCGCTTTCGAGACATGAAAATTGCAAGTTGAATTTCATCAATCGGCCCAGTAGAACGAGAGATATCTAGAACTGTCCCATTTTCCCCCCAAGCAGTATACCTGTTGCATTTTAATAGGTTATTTATTTTTTTCCTTCTTGTCCGCTTTATTCATAACTGTTCTAAGAGTCCATAGAAGAAAATTCATAATCCTACAAGCATTTGAACAAAGTCATTACTGACAGCATTTTCTCCATTTTATATTCCACAAATCACTTTAATTTTAACTTCAAAAGCCTTTTTAACAGCAGGAGTTGACTAACAGATTTCTATTTACCAGACCCGATCAAGATTTATCATAATTAAGTTTTATGACTATTCAATGTATATTTTCCTAAACAACATCTTCACTAGCTGTCTCACGGTAACTATCACATCTAGATGTGGTTGATCAAAACAAACTGAGCGATGTGAGCAGACCAAATAGGCTCAGCGTAATAGTGCAGGAGTTAAAGGTTGATTATATCAGGATTTATAGCTGCATTTTTTTTTCAGAAGTTTGATTATTATTTTTTCATATTAAAATACCCCCTACTTGCTCTTAATTTCGAAATCGACGTAAGCTTGAATCATCATATGCCGAAACATCGCAAACAGAGATTTGACTACATTATGCAATACATAATTACGGCCACATTATTATTATACATTCCTATTGTCAAAAACTACTGCAAATGCCTTTATATAAATGTTATACTTACATGCTCCAGCAATTCTACTTTATTGTAAGCCATTTCGTTTCATGTAGAACGTGATTTTATGTAATATTTTCTCATATTTTTAGTTCACTTTTGGAGTCATAGATGATATTACTAATTTAACAACTTAAATTTATAATATGTGTCCCAGTTGTTGTAAATTAAATCATTAATAGCAGTAACAGCTTTAATTATTTTCACTTTAAATTAAAAACTGCATAAAAAAAACACATTGATGGAAGAAAATCTTTTTTTAACACAATTAAATTTGTTCACTAGATCTGTAATATTTCCAGCAAATGTAATAATTAAATTGAAAATCAAAGCATTAAATGGATGAAACAAGATCATCAGCCAATGGAATTTTCGTTAAGAACTGGAATATTTCGTTATATTATTTAAGGTTTTATAAATTACTTGTTATGTCTGTCTAAAAATTCTTTGTTTAGTAGTAGCGCAACAGCGGCCGAACGGTAAAGTCGCTGAACACTTGTAGTTCGGTCCGAAGTTCGAATCCCGTGAACGGGCTGGCTGCATGAGCGTTTTCGTGGTTTTCCCCATGTGTAACGTGTATACGAGCCAGTTTCCCTTAGAAAGTCCTCCACGAAGGCATCACTCACCTTAGGCAGATAGCCCTCGAGGCTTTACCGTAATTAAATAACCTAACCTTGTTTAGTAGTATGTATGACTTAATAGACTGTTTTGGAGGGAGTACTTGATGTTGCATTTGTTGCTTATGTTTTTGATATATTGGAAAGCTTTGTCCTTTTCAGAGCTTTGAAGAAATGTCTTCACAGAAAAATTTCGAAATTTTTTTAGGGATATATTAAAAAGAGTATGAGGCAAAATAAAGG